AAAAAAAAAACAAAGTTAAGCCAAGACAGTTTGATAGGAAAGAATAATTTTTTTCAGCAAATGTTCTTGAGACCATTGAGTATTCACATGCAAAAAAAAAAAAAAAAAAAGCATGAATGTAGACCCTTATCTCACACAAAATTTAACTCAGAATGGCTCATTGACCTAATTGTAAGAGCTAAAACTTATAAAAGTCATAGGAAATAGAAGAAAAAATCTTTGCAATCTTGAATTAGGCCGGGTTTTCTTGGATATGACAGCAAAAACACTGTCAAAAAAAAAAATTAAAATAAATTGGACCTCATCAAAATTAAAAAGAAAATCGTGCATGAAAGGACATTTTGAATTGAAAAGACAATCAACAGAATGGGATAAAATGTTTGTAAATCATGTATGTGATAAGGGACTGGTACCAGAATATATAAAGAACTCTTAGAGTTTAATAATAAAAAGTTAAATAACCCAATTAAAAAGTGGACAAAGGATTTGAATAAACATTTCTTCAGCGATCTGTAAGTGGCCATTAGGCACTTGAAAAGATGTTCAGCATCATTAGTTATTAGGAAATGCAATAAACCACATTCACATACCACTTTATACCCACTAGTATGGCTTTAATGAGAAAAGATAACCGTGTTGACAAGGATGTGGAGAAATTGGAATGCTTACACACTGCTGTTAGAATGTTAAATGGTGCAGCTACTTTCATAACTAGTTTGGCAGTTCCTCAAAAGGTTAAACATAGAGTTGCCATCTGACCTAGCAATTCTCCTTCTAGGTATATGCCTCAGAGAATTGAAAATATGTCTGTACAAAAACTTGTACACAATTGTTCATACAGCATCATTCCTAATGGCTAAAATATAGGAAAAAACCCACATGTCCAGCAACTGATAGATAAACAAATTGTGCTTTACCCAAATATTGGAATATCAGTTAGCCATAAAAAGGGAAAATGAAAGCTATTGACAGCTATTGTTAAAAAGGCAAATGCTCCAAATAAAATTGCATGTAATACTTTCTTTTTTAAAAAATATTTATTGAATGAAGTCTTTTAGAGTATCCAGACATAAATGAACATTTAGCACTCTTGTGCATACGTAATAAGAAAACATAAACAAAAATAAATTTACTAAGGAATCCTAAAAATTTTATTTCATGTGGTTAAGATTTTGAAAATAAAAGTTTTATATCTGTTCATAGTGAATGAAGCTTCCTTGAATGCTTTAAATATTTAAAGTGTAAACCATTTTTATGTTACAGGGATCTCCATCTACCAAGCGAAGGGGTCAGATGTTACAACCAATCATAGAAGGAGAAACTGCCCATTTTTTTGAAGAAATCAAGGTAATCCTTAAGAGAATTCATTCTCTGATGTCTTTGAAAAGACATCAACAACAAGTTGAGTCATGGCTTGTTTATCTGTTCAATAACTTTTTAGGAAGAAGAAGAAGATGGTGTTACTCTGTCCTCTGAGCTAACTGATATCTTGAAAACTGCTGTGCAGGCACAGTCTTCATTGGAAAATTCTGAATCTGATGTTGAAGAAAATCAGGAAAAACTGGCTCTGGATCTCCGATTGTCAAGTACTCGAGCAGCTTCTATGTATGTTTGCTGGTTTGTAATTTTAACCTATTTGTATAATAAAATTTACATGCTGGTGTAAATGTTAAGTAAACAAGAACTTGGAGGGAATTAATGTAGTGCTTCAGAGATGGACCCTTTTTAGAGTGTGATTTATAAATCACTTACTGTGTTTTAAAAATTAAAGAAACTAAAATCCTGCATTTGCTTCATAACGGAGTACAGGAATCAGCTAGTTAGGTTTGTTCTCTCTCAGCTTCTTTCCCTGGTATGGTGTGTAACTGGTTTTCAGCCCTGGCTTCAATTTATTTTTTTCTTTTTTTTTTTTAATTGAGGTATAACCAACATGCTCTATTAGTTTCAGGTTGGTGTACACCATATTGATTTGACAATTCTATATATTACTCAGTGCTCACCACAGCAAGTGTGGTCACCATACAATGTTATTGTAGTATTATTGACTACATTCCCTGGGCTGTACTTTCCATCTTTGTGACTTACTTATTTTATAATTGGAAGTTTGTGCCTCATTCAGATCCCGTTCACCTATTGTATCTATCTCCTCACCTGTCTACCACCCTCACAGCCACCCAGTTTGTTCTCTGTATTAATGAGACCGCTATTATTTGTTCATTTTGTTTTTTAGATTCCACATATAAGTAAAATCATAGGGTATTTGTCTTTATCTCTCTGACTTAATTCATTTAGCATTATATACCCATTAGTTTCATCCATGTTGTTGCAAATGGCAAGATCTCCTTCTTTTTTATGGCCCAGTAATATTCCTCTGTGTGTGTGTGTGTGTGTTTATGTACACCACATCTTCTTTATCCATTACTCTACTGATGGACACTTGGATTGCTTCTATATCTTGGCTATTGTAAATAATGGTGCAATAAACATAAGGGTGCCTATCTCTTTTCAAATTAGGGTTTTTGTTTTCTTTTGGTAAATAGGAATGGAATTACTGGATCATATGGTAACTTCTGTTTTTAATTTTTTGAGCAGTCTCCATATTGTTTTCCACAGTAGCGCTGGCTTCACTTTAAGATTACCTAGGGAAAAAGTTTTTTTAAATACTGCTGTAGAGGTGCCTTTAGTTTGCAGCCAGTGTTTGAACCCCTGGTAAGAGTCAAAATGTTCTTTCAATAATGTTTTCTTTCCATTTAAATTTCAGGCCTGAATTACTGGAACAACTTTGGAAAGCTAGAGCTGAAAAGAAGAAGCTACGTAAAACGTTACGGGAATTTGAAGAAGCATTTTATCAACAGAATGGAAGGTTTGTTGAACATCACAAAATTGAGTCTTCCTTCTTCCTTTTTTTTTTTTTTTAATTATTTTACGATGTTTATTTATTTTTGAGAGAGAGACAGAGCACTAGCGGGGGAGGGGCAGAGAGAGAGGGAGACACAGAATCTGAAGCAGGCTCCAAGCTCTGAGCTCAACACAGAGACCCATGTGGGGCTCGAACTCACGAACCATGAGATCATGACCTAAGCCAAAGTCAGACGTTTAACCAACTGAGCCACCCAGGTGCCCCGAGTCTTCCTTCTTCTTAAACTTAAGGGCTTATATGGTAAATTAAAGGAATATATAGGAATAGAAATAAATTGTGCACATAAGCATGTTATCATTGAAAAAAAAAAAGTAGAAAACATTCCTTTTTACTTGGAAGTCCTGCTATTAATGGCAAGAAAAAGAGCTAGGGGAACAATACCTGATAAAATATTTCAGAGTTGTTCTAGAGGGGCTTGGTTGAGTGGCAGTTATGTTGTGTTTTTTAATTCTACATCCTCACCCTTTTGGCAGTGTTTGTGAAACAAAAGGTTTTTCCTTTTGTAAAGGGTCCTGTGACAGCTAGTGTGGATCCTTACACTAAGACTGTGGCTACTTAGGCTGCATGTTGGGCCATTCCAGGCTTCGCATTTTCAGGGTGTGCAACAGGGTGCCAGTCAATAGTGTGGCTCCTAGAATACAGTATGGCATGTGTTTTTATCTAACTGGGGCACAGTTGACTCAGTGGAACTCTTTAAGAAAAATACATTCTAGTTCAGATGATGGACAGAAATGAATGTTATCTCAGACCTCAGAAAAGTTTCTCCATGTATGTAACTGGGTGGTCTTAACAAGCCAGTAGCTATATTACAAATTCCAAACTGTGTTTACTTTGAGAATTTTCTATATAGTGGGCAAAAATGATTAAAAAACACTCAGTGTAAGAATGCATTTTTTCAAGTACCTTCTTATTCTTTGCCTTAATGGAAGAAAACTTTTTTGTAATTATACTTAGGATGGTTTGATGCTTTACCTAGAGATTAAACTGAATTGGATTGGGTCATTAATATAAAGTGAGAAAACTGCTTTTTTCTGTGGGTAAGATCTTTTACTTCTCAATTCACTGAAGCCATAGTACAGTAAATGTATGAAATTACTGACTGTAATCCTCTAGCACTTGATATACACTTCCAGACCTGACAGAGTCTAGCAGCGCGTGTCTTACTAAAGTATTTGGCTTCTGCTGGTTCTTTGCAATGAACATCGATAAGTATAGCATTATTGAATCTGTCAGTAGAGAAATTCATCAAAAAAAGTATTTTAGGATTGTTCCTTGGGGATGGGGTGTGGGGAATTAGTGCAGTAATCTATCTTCTTGCAGAGCAGTTTTTTTATTTGAATTTACATTTGGTAACATTGTGTCTCACATCAGGACAAGTTCTGGGACTTTATTTTTCAGATGATCTCCAGAATATTACAGATTTTATTTTCTTCCCTAGGAATGCCCAGAAGGAGGATCGTGTTCCAGTGCTTGAGGAGTACAGGGAGTACAAGAAAATTAAAGCCAAACTTAGGCTTCTTGAAGTTCTTATCAGCAAACAAGATTCTTCAAAATCCATATAAAATATACTTCTTGAAAACATCATAAAAATCAGTTGTATTCCCTGAAGCAATCATCGTGTGTACTTGGCTGGTACTTGAGTTCATTTTGTCAGGCACTCAGAAAGTATCACTTTGTACTTGGTTGTGGTGCCACTAGAGAATGATGGGAGGGTAAGTAGACCCTCTCTAGGGAGCGTGGTGTTCCATATTAACCACAGACTGTCCTCTTCACCTTTAGCAAACATCAGTTTTCTTCATTGTTTTGTACTACAGATACATCCTGTTAGCAAAAGACTAGTACTTTATTCTTTCAACTTCAAGAACTTTGGAGATACAAGCTTTTTGTTGTTACCAACTTTGCTTTTATTATTATTTTTTTAATTACTGAAGAAAATTGAGAGGAACATCTTCACATTGAATTCTTCGGTTGCCTTTTTCTTACAGAATGACTGAAAATTTGAAAGAAAAGCCTATAAATGTGCACATATGCAACTATGTCTTATGTTTTCTTAGAAAACCAAACTCAAACTGAAATTTCAAGTCCTACTGTGGAACACATTTCTGTTTAATTTCCAAAGTGAAAGTTTCTCACAGGTAATATGTTAGCAAAATTTTGCAATTCCGTGGTCACACAGCTCCTGGATGAAGATAACAGAGGGCACACCAAAAAGTGACCTTGTTTATTAGTATAGTGAACACACACACCACACATCACACACAGAACTGAATCATTTCACATGCTGCCTATGGGACATAAGTTACTGTTTGTTTCCTCAGTTATTCTTTTTGAGCTGGTGATGATGTGATTTGTCTGCATCAGATCCTGTACTTTTTCCTCCCACCCACCTCCAGATAATGTGAGAAAATAGCCATGTCTGTGTAGGAACACTGATGGTGCTCAGATTTGTGTGTTCAATCAGATGGGCCTAATTTGGCAAAAGAGTCATTATGCGTGAATCAAATCTGTTCTTAACAAGGGCTATACCACTGCATTTTTTACATGTACCTTCTGGGGGTCACATCATTTTTTTTTTCTCTTTTAATTGGCAAAATCCGTGAAGAAAACATCCTCTAACAGGACCACTTTGGCTCAGCACATGCTATTTAAAGCAGCTGTGTAGTGGTGTTCAAAGATGTCTAGTGGTATGCCCTTGTCATATACTCTAAGCTGATTTTTTGTTCTTTGGCTTTGCATGGCTTTCCTTCAAGTACTCTTCTGGTATCATTCTGCTCATCGTTTTCACAGAATGGTGACTTTATTTGGGCTAACAGTAGTAATAGCATATTCTGGTCAGGCTTAATCTAAGTGTTAATTCTTTTCTTGGTGCTTTTTTGGATTGATGAGTGTCTCACTTTGTGCCCATGGTTTGCATGCATTGACTCATGCGTGATTTTCTTAACTAGCTAATATTAACAGTTCCATGTAAAAATGGACCTCTGCAACATTCTTTAATAAAAGTGAGGGAAGCACGAACCTCAGACTTGCAGCACTATTACATAGTAAGCACATGAAGTAGCTTGATAATAAGTAGTGTTTCTAGTGTTTCACATTTCACCTATGTGTGCAATGCCTTTTTCGGGGGGAGGGAATGTTCATTGGTGGTGAACATGTAGTTTTACTGGGGAATAAAGCACTAAATCCAGCCCTTTTTGTGTGGTTTCCTTTTGGTATGCCTAGGTTGTTCATAACGTATACCTAGAAAAATGAAATTGAAAAAGCCAAAACAAGTATCATATCACTTTGATTTGAATCCAGCATGCAGTGTGCATTTATTTCTTTCAGTCTCCAGACAGGAGTGTATCCAAACATCTAACTTAATGTGCACTGTGTATTGTTTTATATGAATGTTTATATATACCACATGCAAAAATGTCCATATGCACTATTTAAATGTTTTAAATAATATATTCCTTCTTTATAATGCTAAATCTATATGAGTACCATATTTTTATAAGTCAGTGGCCTGACTGGTTTCATTTTAGAATTAACAGCTGCTTCATGGTGTTGATTATTCACTGTTAATGTTTGGCTGCGAGTAGAATAGATAAAGTAGCATGGCAGCACTTACGCTATGTGACAGTACTTGTGTGTCATAGTTGAGCAGTAGGTGGTAGAACTAGGCAGTTTGTGATGAGTTTTACTTTGGTACCAGTAAAAACAGTATATCTATATACAAATAATATATAGATATATATGACCACCAATATAATCACATTGCTGTGTCTGGCACTTCATTGTATAGACTTTTGTAATAAAAGAACTTGAATGTTCTAAGTCATTGTAAATGTTTTTTGTTTTCACTAGATGTTAAAAGACAAAAAATCGAGACCTCAAGTGTTTCTTTGCCTTAATGTTCTTGGGCTTTGTTGGAATTACCTCATTCAGGGACCACGGGGGGACAACATGGTTACTAAGCCACTTGGCTGGCTACAGCTCTGGGGAGTGGTAAGACTAGGGAAGGCCATGTTGTTAAATGCCTTGTGGAAGTCTAGAAGATGCAGAGAGAACAGTCAGCATTTCTTGTTGGAATGAATTATTCTATTAAGCATACTTGAGGTACAGTTTCTAAGAAAAGAGTGTGCATGGCTGGCTTGAGGAAGGTGGGTAGATTTAAAATCTATTGAGCACCAATGTGGAAATTGAGTATGATGGTGAGATGATGTTGTTTGGGCCAAGAGAACATATGGCTCTTCCAGGAGCACTTATGTAACGTGCTAAAAATATAGAAGAGTTACCTCACACAACTTTACGACCACTCAGACAGGGGTTTTGCGGCACCCTCATTCATATTTCTCATACATTAAGTTGACTTCTCATAACTCTGATACTCCTACCTTGCTCTTTGTTTTTACAGTATATTTTGCTTTTAGAGTAGTTGAGGAAATACTTAGGAAACTTTAAATGTGTTACTTTAGAATCTTTCTAGATGAATTTCCAGTTTGAAAATATTAGTGAAAATTCTGTAGATGATTGGTAAGTTTGTTCTTGTACACTTTAGCTTTTTCTAGATGACCTCAAACTGGGAGGAATGGAAGTGAGATTACTTTATTTGGGGTCTTATATAATGGTTTTCCAGAATCATAGGTATTTATTTATTTATGGCCAGGACAAGTTATAACATGGTACATGATGAAAACACCTAACGGTTCCTATACTCTAGGTAACATTGAGAAAACTGCTTATGACCTATTAGAGACCTGCCCCATGAACTATATGCAGCATTTGATACTTTAACTCCACATTCCTAGAATTTAATAATAAATCTCATTATAAAATCATTTACGTGTACCGGTGTGTATACTCTGGAAGTGTGCTGTTTGGATTGCACAGTGGGGCCCATTCAGGGGTACTTAATTTCTGGAAATCTTTTGGTGAAATCATTTTGGTAATTATACTCTGATGATAGCTTGATGATAGGTGGTACAGTGTTTTTAAAGTGTACCTGAAATGTGTACATGTTTAGGAAATAATTCAGTACAGGGATAAATCTTTGTTACAAATGCTCAATGATTGTATCACAGATTCTCACCTGCACTTGTCTTAATTTTGTAGAGCTGAAATCCTTCTCATCACTCGGTTTAGTTTTAAACTGACGTAGTGTAATTCTTTCTCCAGCTCCACGGCATATAAAAAGAGTCTGCAGGATAATTTAGAAGGAAGCAGAGAATGGGTCAGTAACATGCCTTCGTGCATAGAGAGACAGCAGGTTATTAGTGCCTTTTGTGAAGTACTTGGGGTGGGAAGATAATACTTTAAGCTTCTAAAACATGCCTAGTAGGGCCAATTATGGATCTTCTATTCTAAAATAGTGGAGAACAGGGTCTGCTGTGCATATTAAATATAAATGGCAGTTCCCGTTAAAAAACTTAAAAGGGGGAGCACCTGGGTGGCTCAGTCGTCCAACTTCAGCTCAGGTCACGATCTCAGGTTCGTGAGTTCAAGCCCCGTGTAGGGCTCTGTGCAGGCTTGGAGCCCAGAACCTGCTTCAGGTTCTTTGTCTCCCTCTCTCTCTGCCCCACCCCTGCTTGCACTCTGTCTCTATCTCTCAAAAATGAATAAACGTGAAAAAAAAGTGTTTTTTTAAATATAAATGGCAGTTCCTATTTGGAGATGTAAGAGTAAAAGCAGTTGGTTTCACTCTTACCTTACATTTAAACAAATGGAGTATTGTGCTTTCTGATTAATTTCAAAGTTGAGTAAAAAGATGAAAAAAAAGGGGGTGGCATCTCAGAATAAGGTTCTGATTTCGGGAAAATAATGTAATTCATGTCCCCAGTCACCATATAATGATATCCCAGAGTGCCCTGGTTAGAACAAATACTTACTCTCGAAATTCTTGTTGCGTGACAGGCTGGTAGTCATCTTGAATTTCTGAAGAATAATACTTTTTCTCAAGCCTCTCTTTCCACTTTTTCATCTGCTCTGCACTTTGAATCTCCTGTCAAGTCAGAGGACAAGCATAGGCTGCACCTTTAAGTTTTTCTCTATCTAAGTCTTTGGTACCCAAGCATCACAGCAATGAGAATCTTTTTATTTTTTAATCTAAATGGCTTTATTATTTTTTTTTCTTGTCTTATTGCACTGGTTAAACCTCCAGTACAAGATGGAATAGAGATAGTGAGAATGGATGTCCTTGCTTTGATGCTGATCTTAGGGAGAAAGCATTCAGTTTGTCATCAGTATGTAGGCTTATAGCTGACAGGTTTTTGGGTTTTTTTGTTTTGTTTTGTTTTTGTTTTTGTTTTTGTTTTTTTGTAGATGCTCCTTATGAAGTCTTGTAAAATCTCTTTTCTACAGTTTGCTGAGAGTTTCTGTTATGGCTGAATGTTGACTTAGGTGAAATGCTTTTTTTTAAGGTACATAAATTATTATTCTTTTCCTTTTTTTTTTTTTTAAATTTTTTTTTCAATGTTTATTTATTTTTGGGACAGAGAGAGACAGCATGAACGGGGGAGGGGCAGAGAGAGAAGGAGACACAGAATCGGAAACAGGCTCCAGGCTCCGAGCCATCGGCCCAGAGCCCGACGCGGGGCTCGAACTCACGGACCGCGAGATCGTGACCTGGC